TGAAGTGCGTGTCTGACAGGTCTGGCAAATGTGTGGATGAACGACCGCAGACCGGCCCAGTTTGATAATCCTCTTTTGTTGGACCGTAGGTACGTTCAATGCGCGTTGTGGCGTAGAAGAACTGATGTGTCATGTTGACTTGTCGCCGTTTTCCACGAAGTTTTTTTTTGCAAATGTGTCGAGCAGTGAACAACGGGTATGCCATCGCCGCTTCTGTAGGTAGAAAACATCAGTGGATGATGACACCACAATTCGAAACTGGCAACGTCGCTGTTTTCCCATAAATGTCAGGTCCAAACTCTAGTTTAGAATGCTTCAAGCCACTGCTGCTTCCGCGCACAGCTTAATACAGCAGGTCCACTTTACTTCGCCACTGGCTACGTGCCCCAATCGTTGTTGTTGTGCGATAAGAGATAACGGTGCAGGTGTCCTTTAGGTCAAATCGTGCGGTAACCTTATTTTTAGAACCTGCCTAACTCGAAAAACCAGGAGGACTTGCGTCTTGGAGCACTAAAAACGCTCAAATCATTTACAATCAGAAAGCGGACACACCGAGATTTAGAGTGGCCGTGCGTCGCAATGCGTCGGGAGATCAGCCTTTCTGATGACAATGCGGTTTTTGCAAGTAGTGGGCTTAAGGGACCACGCCTTATTCTGGCGCTCCCAACCTTCTATACTATATATAATTATAGAAGGAAATTTGAGGTCCGGGAGGGGGACATGGATTCGAAGAAAAGGGTGAAGGGTAAAAACTTAGAACTTAATATGTAAAGTGTAATATGTAGTAGGATATCTCATACATTCTAAACCCAAACATGTGTAAAGACTGTGAAAGCTGAAGACCGCGGGTGGGTGCCATTGTCGCCAAAGGGTGATAGCCGGAGAGCGGTTGAGCCATTTTGACGCCGCCATATGAGAGATTGTGCCTAGCCTATCACGACTAGATCTTAATTACCATAAACAGCAGTCAATAATCAAAAATATGCAATAATAATAGTGCTCTAGAATTTTCTCTCCATCCTAATATTATGTGAATTTGATGTCATTTTTCGTTTATTAGCCACGCTAGATCAAATGATTAAAAGGTTCTACATTTTCACCGTCGCTGTATGTGATGCTGAGGAAACGGAGGAAGTACAGTACTCGCCGTTTGAAATCGAAAATTCACGCGAATAACGCGAATCCTCGTTAATTTCGTGAATTCGTTATAACTCGGTTCAAAATTGAGCTTTCGAGAATCCGAAGATATCTTTGAATTCAGCTCGTCGGACACTATAAGAATGTGCTTTGATACTTTGGAAAAGCTCCATATAGGATTGCGCCATGCACTCGATTTTCATCTCAAAAAGTAGTTGCTCGCATGTGATGTGTATATAATCCCGCTTATGCGGGCTGACCGCTACACACAAGAAGGGCCTCAAAACTTACCCCAGAATGCGCCACGTACTCAATCTCATCCACTACATTGTGAGATTAGATGAATGTTATTTTCCGAATTCTTAGATCTTCATTTCGTTTTTAAGCGCTTACTGGCTTTACGTGTTCCCTCTGCTCTCAATATCCCATCCTCTGTATATCAAGTGGAATCTTTGAACAGTTCTCAGCAGGCATAGTGGGCCTATTATGTGACAACCTGGATAGAAAGAGAATGCATGACACAAGTTTTTTTTCGTCTTTTTGTCACAACTGCTTTTTTAATTCTCATTTTTTCAGGAATAATTTCTCGCGACCAAGCTGAGGTCCTCCTGCAAGATAAACCAACTGGATCGTTCCTCGTTCGAGTCTCAGAAAGGATATGGGGGTTTGTAAATACACTTTACACGAATGGCGCACTTTCACCAAAATTTTCTCGAGTGCACCACTAGCAACGATGGCATAAAAAGTGCTCACATTTACCAGAAAGGCTAGAGTTTCGCTCAGGAATCGAGAGAATGTTTAAATGATAGACAACCACGCCTGTCATTGAAGCCACGAGTCAGGATTAGGCAACCAGCAGAAGTTCTTCCCAGGGTGCGATAGTGGGCTCCCCAAGCACTGAGGGCGCGACACTATCGCGACCCAAAAGTGCGCGGCAATGGCGCTAAGGCCTTGCCCGCCGCGCTGCCCGCGCTGCCAGCGTAATCCACCACGGCATACGTGGTCTCTGCGTCCTCTCGCGTACGACGTACTATCTCGCGTTCTCCCTCTCCTCGCAGCGCTGTGTCTCTCCGTCGTACTACGGCCGGCCTCCTAAGGGAAATTTAGTGTTTTCTATGGTGCTTTTTGCTTTTTCTCCTCACTAATGTTCCTCATTGCACCCCTTGCCTAATGTTTGAACAAAATAACGCATCAATTCAATCCCGACTCGTGCCTTTAAGCTTTCCTGTTGTAAAGGGTGGGAACGTAACACTAAAGTACCGGCAAAAAACCACATTCAGTCTGTGCCTTGTCTCAAGCCTGTCTAACATGATGTGATGCTTGCTTTTAAATCCTCTGCTATACAAGATGTTCTTTATTGCTTACGCATCCCTTCCAGGAGGGTGTTGTCTCTATTAGTGATTGAGCACAGGAAAGTGAAACCTAATGCAGGAGAGCATCACCCTGCAGTCGGTGGGGATGAACTGGTCATCAAAAAATTATGAGGCTTCTAATCACAAACCCTTTCCTGGTCCATACCTTGTTTTTCGTAGAGAACCAGTGTTCACTTCCTGATTTTGCCATCACAAACATGTTTATTGCCAAAAAACCGATTGTGTCGTTGTTGTCTGAACTGAACTATCCCCGTGTCATGAAGAATGTTCGATACGTCAGGATGGTGATCCACTCTAGCTGAAGGCGCGAGAGCAGGGGCTACGGTGGTATGTTAAGCAACAGTTCAGGGAGGGTCCGAAAATTTCAATGCCACTACTACTGAGGGATACACGAGCCCTAGTGAAGAACATATGCAGTGGAAATAATAAACGAACTTACCTCAGAAACTCAAAAACAGGGTGGAAAGTCCCTCAAACATGGGTGTTCTTGGGGATTTCCCCAATCCCGCCCCCTTGCCGGCCGTCATTGGACGCGTCGGCAATCGTGCTCGTTTTGGGACCACAGGGAAAATTGATTGAAAAATGGAGCGCGTTTACAGCGGGCACGTTCAGACAACTCGTCCAACGTGCGTCTTTATCCATTGCTGAGCGGCAGAGGGAGAGTACCTGTCTAAGACCCTCCCCGACGTTTTTTTCCAGTTTTTCATACATTAATCGTCTGGTTTTCATCTACAACTTCATTATTGGTGGTTTTTTCCCGCGAAACCGTTCCTGAACTGTTGCTTTAAAGAGAAGAGCTGATAAGGAATGGACTGGACCACGAAGTGCAAGGCAAGCGGTTACGCTAAGCTCAAAAAAACTTAAAAATGTGTCATGAAGAAGGATCCTCTCAAGGTCAGGGCAATGGCCAAGCACTGTGGACCTTCTTTGAAACTGCGCGGGATTAAAGCTAGGACGAAAACGACAACGAAGGGCTT